GACAATTAATAAATGGGACCTTGTGAAACTGAGAAACTTCTGTAAGGCAAAGGACACAGTTATCAAGACAAATGGCAGCCCACAGAATGGGAAAAGATATTCACTAATTCCACATCTTAAAGATGGTTGATTTCCAAAATATATGAAGAACTCAAGAAGCTAGTCACCAAAACACTAAATAATCAAAATAAAAAGTGGGGTACAGAACTAAATAGAGAATTCTCAATAGAGGAATCCAAAATGGCTGAAAGACACTTAAGAAAATACTCAACATCCTTAGCCATCAGGGAAATGCAAATCAAAACAACTCTGAGATACCATCTTGCTCCTGTCAGAATGGCTAGAATCAAAAACACCAGTGACAGTTTATGCTGGAGAGGATGTGGAGAGAAGGGAACACTCCTCCGCTGTTGGTGGGATGCAAACTCATATACCACTTTGGAAATCAGTATGGAGATTCCTCAGGAAAATCAGAATCAGTCTACCACAAGATCCAGCAATCCCACTCTTAGGCATATACCCAAAGGATGCACATTCATACAACAAGGATGTCTGTTCCACTATGTTCATAGCAGCATCATTTGTTATAGCCAGAACCTGGAAGCAATCCAGATGCCCCTCAACTGAAGAATGGATAGAGAAAATGTTGTACATTTACACAATGGAGTACTACTCAGCAGAAAACACAAACAAAAACAAAAACAGTGGAATCTTTAAATTCACAACCAAATGGATGGAACTAGAATAAACCATCCTCAGTGAGGTATCCCAGTCACAAAAAGACAAACATGGTATGTACTCACTCATATATGGGGATTAAACATAGAGCAAAGGATTACCACCCTACAATCCACACTGCCCGAGAAGCTAGGACACAGAGAGGACCATAAGAGAAACATACATGATCCCCCAGAGAAGGGGAAATGGACAAGATCTCCTGAGCTAATGGGGAGCTCTGAAGGAGAGAAGAGGGAGTCAGGAGAAAGAGAAGGGGAGAAGAGGAGGGGAGAGCAGGAAGTTTGAGTCAGGGGAAGAATAGAGGAGAGCAAGAAAAAAGATACCATAATAAGTGAACCATTATAGGTTTAAAGAGAAATCTGGCACTAGGGAAATGTCCAGAGAAGTACAAGGATGACCCCAACTAACAATCTAAGCAATAGTGGAGAGGCTGCCTTAAATGCCCTTCCCGATAATGTGATTGATGACTACCTTATATGCCCTCCTAGAATCTTCATCCAGTAGCTGCTGGAAGCAGAGGCAGACACCAACAGCTAAACTCTGAGTTGAACTCCTGGAATCCATTTGCAGAGATGGAGGAGTGATGAGCAAAAGGGTCAAGACCAGGCTGGAGAAACCCACAGAAACAGCTGACCTGAACAAGGGGGAGTTCATGGACCTAAGACTGATAGCTGGGAAACCAGCATAGGACTGATCCACGCCATCTGAACATGGGTGTCAGTTAGGAGGCCTGGGCAATCTATGGAGCTTCTGGTAATGGATCAGTATTTATCCGTAGTGTACAATTAGACTTTGGGAGCCTATTCCACATAGAGGATTACTCTCTCAGTCTAGACACACAGGGGAGGGCTTAGGTCCTACTCAAAATGATATGACTTTGAAGATCCTCCATGGAAGGCCTCACTCTCCATGGGGAGCAGAAAGGGGATGGGATAGGGGGCCAGTCGGGTGCAGTGGAGGAGGGGAGTGAGAAGGAACTAGGATTGACATGTAAAACAAGCTTGTTTCTAATATTGGAAAAAAGAAAAAGAAAAAAACACAGTGAGAAGCCACCGAGGAGTAAGAGCAGAACAATGGTCTGGTCTCAGTTGCATTTTGGAAAGCCTCTTGCTGGAAGGTCCTTGGGAAATGTGTAAACAGGCCATTGCATGATGGTAAAGGAAAGTCCCTGGGAGTGTTGGGGACAAGACACCTGTAGGGCTTACTGATTGTCATTTTTTGTTATTGTTATTTTTATGAAACCATAAGTGTGCTCTGAGAAGTATGTGGTACATTTGAATGATACAGATGGATAGAGATGGGTTTTTCACTCTTTCTAGATTGTGATTGACATGGGGGCTTCCATTCTAACACAGCTAGAAGATGGTAAGATGATGTAAACTCTTTCTGCCTTGTTTGGTCCATCAATTTGTGACCTGCTTTCAAGACCATCCAAAGCTCACCTTCTGCAGAAGGTATGTCTCCTCAAGTTCATGGGGTGTTTATTTAATGGTTTGCCACCCAGTCATTGGATATCTAGAAACAGGAAAAAAGCCAAACTTTTAAAGTTATCCAGACCTTTAAAAAACAATACATATTTTTGTTCAATAGAAAGAACCACTGTAGCGTTTTCTAAAAAAGTAGATATGCTTTGCAGGAAGACATGGAGGAGTGGATATCCACACCGAGAAGGAGGTTGTGCAACTTTCTCACCACTGTACATAACAATGACCTAAAAGTAAATTTTAGTCCTAAATGTCAGAGTTAAAACTAAACACTCATGGAAGAATTCAAGGAGGAAATCTCCATAGTCTTAGATTGAGCAAAACCTTCTCAGGTGTGACACAGAAAAAACACAACTGACTAAAGCTGAATTTCGTCAAATGCTTAAAATATGTGTGCTGCAAGGGATGCCATTAAAGAAGTGTGTGTGTGTGTGTGAAAAATATAAAAACACGGGATTATAAATGTTATCTGATAGGAAATTAGTTATACTTGCAGCACAATACAAAAGAGATGATTCAATGGAAAAATGGACACAAGATTTGAGTAGACATTTTTTCTAATGGGCACACAAAAAATACTATGTTGCATCATGTGGGAGGCACAAATATAAGAACAGTGAGATGGCTCACTTATTTGGATGTCTATAACCCCAAAAGACTGTAACAAGTGCCAGCAGGGAGCAGAGAAAGCCATAGATGATTGGTAGGAATGTGAAATGGAGAAGTCAATTCAGAAAACAATGTTCCTCAGAAGTTTAACATAATGTCACCACATATAACATTAGGTATATTCCTGAGGTAATGAAAATATGGGAATACAAAACACAACAGAGCAGTGTTGTTTGTGTCTAAACAGTGAGGAAAAAATAATTTGCTGGTCAATGGATACATAAATAAATAAAGCTGTACCTACCCATACAATGGGATATTATTTCAAATAATTCAACCCACAACATTTAAAACATTATGTTTAGTGAAAGAAGCTAGCCAAAAAAAGTTTGTTTATAAAATATCCAAATTGACAAAGCTGTAGACACAGAAATTAGTTTAGTGTTTGACAGTATGTTGGTTGGTTTTGTGTCAGCTTGACTCAAGACAGAGTCATTTTGGAAGAGGGATTTCAATTGAGATAATGCCTTGATTGGCCTGTAGGAAGTCTGTTGCGCGTTTTCTTGATTAATGAGTGACGTTGCCACTGCCCACTGTAATGTTGCCACCCTTGGACAGGTGGTTCTGCCGCCCCCCAGTCTTCTGCTTTAGTTTCTGCCTCCAGCTCTCCTTCCCCCAGCGATGGGCTCTTAGCTGAAAGTATAAAACTAAATAAACCCTTTCCTCCTCACATTGCTTTCGCTCAAGGTGTCTTGTCACAACAGAAGCCTTAACCAAGGCAGAAAGTGGATGCTAACTGCTAATGGGTGTGGAGCTATGGCGACAAAACTGATCGCACACCCCTGTGAGCACCTGAAGAACTACTGAGTTAATTGTACTTCCGACAGATGAGTGGTGTGGTGAGTGAATGCAGTCTTGATGAAGATACCCTATCTTTAAACGTTACTATTCTGTGGAAAGGAGTGGGCTCACAAGTCCCCACCCCCTGCTGAGGAGCTTGGCTTCTAGGGGCAGGAGGGTCATTTTTCTTCAAAGGCATGATCCCTGGGGATGGGTCAGCCATACTCCGGTGGATGGCCCACACCTGTGAGTATATGGGCAGCACAATTGGAGGCAGGGCAGGTGGTGTAAATCTGGAGGGGTTGAGTCAGGCAGTGGTTAGGATTAAGGTACATTGTTTGCATATATGAAACTATCAAAGAATTAATAAAATACTACATTTAAAAAGAAAAACTAATATGCTGAATGAATTTTAAAATGAGTCCCCTACCTGCGGTGCCCGCGCCACAAGCTAGTCCAGGGTATCAGGGAAAGAAAGACCAGATGTCCAGCTGTTTGTACTAAGAAGTGTCTTTATTTTGCAAGTGCTAAGAGGTCTCTCTCTTGTAGGAGGGAGCAGTCTTATATATAGTCTTACAACGCAGTAGAAGAACCCCAGGTGGAAGAGAGCAGGTTTTCCTCGTGCTAGATGTTGATGTCAGTGGGGCAATGCGGGGGCAGTAAGCCAGGACTAGAAAACAGGATGCACCTGTGGCTATCAGCTGACAAACAACTCAGAGACCCTGTGGGGGCTAGGCCCCAACACCTACCCACTTCTCTCCTTCCCTTCTGTGATGGTTTGAAATAAAATGGCCCCCAAAGGGCATGGCTCTATTAGGAGGTGTGGTCTCATTGGAGGAAGTGTGTCACTGTGGGGGTGTACTTTGAGGTCTTTTTCTCAAGCTTCACTCAGTGTGATTGTCAGCTGACTTCCTGTTGCCTGCAAGATGTTTCACTCTTAGCTCCATCACCATGTCTGCCTGCATGATGCCATGCTCCCCACCATGAAACCTCTGAAACTGTAAGCAAGTCCTCTCAATTAAATGCTTTTCTTTGTAAGAGATGTTGTGGTCATGGTGTCTCTTCACAGCGATAAAACCCCTAGGACATTCCCACCCTCGTTTTGTTTTTTCCTCTCTCTCTCTCTCTTTCTCTCTCTCTCTCTCTCTCTTCCCTTCTTTCTTCCTTCTTTCCTTCCTTCCTTCCCTTCCATCTAAATTATGAACCCGTGATAGAATACATTTAGTTCGTGAATTATGTCAACTGGGAAATAAGAAAAAATAGCAAGCCAAATGTAGAAAATTCACTTAATTGGAGCAACCACAGACAAGAAAGACAGAATATGAGGAGTTTAAGTTTTCCTCTGGCATTTATTCTTTTTGTTTCATCCAAAATATAAACATTTAAGACACTGTACTAGGTACTATTTTATGATTTCCAAGCAGCACATATTCTCCTTAGTGTAAACCAAGTTTCAAATACTTAATAACTAGTGGGCATTGGTTATGCCCTCCGTTCAATAGCGAATAATTTATAGTAGCTGACTTTGGTCCATCACAAGTTGCTTAAAAAGGTAAAATACAAATCACACTTGGAAATCTCTTGACATTTACACAAACTCGAAACAGAAGACTCTACAAAAGAGCTGTGTGTGTTGAAGCATGTCCAAGTTGGTTTGATAGCACCATTGGGATTCCTAGAACCACAAGTAAGGGTGTGCAGCAGCTGACTTTGCTATTATTCTTTTCTCCTCGAGCACTATCAGACCTGGCCACCTCCTTGTTTGGGAGGGATGGAAGCTTGACCCAGATGGGTTTGGTCAGTGGCCAGTGTCAGTTAATGATCCCTGGAGAAACTGGCTAATTATGAAATAGCTCTCTAGGGATTCAGATATCCCAGGAGTGAATCAAAACCCATGTCTCCTTGGAGTGAGCCCAAACTTTCATTATTATGACTTACAAGAGTTGTCTGAGGCCCTATCCCTGCAACTATGGAAGGGTTTGTAAGGTGCTCCTGTGGCTGAACTCTGAGCCAATATGGATTTCTAGAGTCTCTTTAAAAGTGAAGAGAATTGACCCTTTATAATTTAAGACTCTTCTAGGCTTTCGAGAATTCCCTGGACCTATTTTACTTTATGGTTAGGCCTTTAGAACTTAATTAAATTGGATTCTGGAGATGAGGCACATGGGCAGAGAAAGTAGCCCTTAGTCTCATCTTTAATTTGAAGAACGTCCCTTTCATTTTTCCGTGGTAGGTCTACTCAGTTATCTCCCTCCTGGGCTTAGCTCTAAAGTCTCAGAAAACTTCAGGAGGAAGGATGTGTGTGCATATTCCCAGAACATCTTACTTTTATAGAACACATCATATTTAGAGAAAGCAAAGTCTACAGCCATAGCACCATGAACATACTATATCTCATCGTGTCTCAGAGGCTAGAGAGGGTTAATAGTGGGTGGGAGATTTTAACTGGGGAAGATAATTAGGCTTCAAGGCAAAAGTAAACGGAGGGAAATTTCAGCCAACTAATTATTGTCATCAGAATATATGCATTAGTTTATTACTGACCTCTACTTATGATTCCTTTGGTATCTTATTCTCATTCTTTCATTCAAGATTACTTATGAAGAAATCATACTTTATCATACAGAGCTCTGAAATTTTGTTATATAACTTAAGGGTTTTTAAGGATGAGTGAAGGAGAGGAGAGAATAGACCAAGAAAGAAAAAAGGCAATATTGTGTACATTCTTATTATCCCCTCTTGATTTTAATGATTCACTTTTAATTTAATCACTTGAATGTCTCTCAGAAATCCTTCTTCTGTAAAGGAAGTCAAGCCAGCTTCCTGGAATTCAACAAAACACCATTCTTTAGGGGAAAAGAAAACTTTGAACAATAGTTGTCTGTTTCCACAGCTCGTATCAGTGTTCTGAAAGTACTAATTTGCTTTCAACCACACAACAAAAGCTGATTCTCCTCCTTTCCAGTTGATTCCATGGTTTGTTGGAGCTTTAAAAACACATTACATAAATCCTTAGAAATCTTTTGTGAGGGTAAACACGCCATTTTCAAGCAGTGATCTTTTGCTCTCTTGACTCAAGACACTGTAGCGACTCCATCTTTACCAAACCTGGGTGCTGTAGGGAGTCTTTTTTTCTTTTTTTCCCCTAAGGCAAGCACCATACAAAGGCTTCCTCCTTCCGAGATCTGATGTTGTCTTTCCCCAACACAGTGTCACTTTTAGTGACTCATTTAGTGCCTTCTCATTTTGAATACAAAGCAACAAGATTCATAAGCTCCTCAACTTATGATGGGGTTGCACCCCAATAAGCCCATCATAAATTTGAAATATTATTTAGTCAAAATGAATTTAATACACCACTCTACAGATCTTCAGAGTTTAGCAACACATGGTGCTCTAGGATGTTGTGTGTTTACACCCAGGATCCTGTGGTTGCTTGGGAGCTGTGGCTTGCTGCTGCTTCTGGCCACCCTCGGGAGACAGTGGCACATTGCATAATACTAGGCTGATAAAATGTTCAAGTTCAAAATTAAAAATGCATTCTATTGAATGTGTCTTGCTCCCTCACCATAAAAAAATACAATCAGCTCTTTTTATAGTCTTCTTGCAGATTCCTGAAATATGAAACTTGTGTTTGATATATCACTATTCCTAGGTAAGTTAAGATTTCTTTTGCTCTCTTTTCCTTCTTTTCTTTCCTTTCCTTTTCTTTTCTTTGTGAGACAGAAGGTTTCACTGTGTAGTCCTTTCTGTTGTAGAACTCACTATGTATACCAGACTGGCCTCGAACTCATAGACATTTGCCTGCCTCTGTCTCCGGAATGCTGGGATGAAAGGCGTGCACCACCACTACTCAGCGGAGTTAATTAAGATTTCTAATGTTCTTATTATTATTGCTGAGATATCTCTTCCTTTATAAGCCTATACTGACATATCTGGTATTTACCTGCTTTGTGCCTTGACTCAAGAGCTAAAGAATGGCAGTGTCTGAAGGAAGTAATTGGTCATAGGCAGATGAATCTGATAGGCAGATGATCGGTATGGTATACATTAGTGTTCAGGGCCTGTGGTCCACAAGGCTTTATACCATGAGAGATTGTGTATTAAGTCTCACAGAACCCTGCAATGTAATAGTCAATGAAATTGAGAAGCTATTGTATGCTCAGATTTTGAGAGAGGAAATCATGGCTTCTGCCAGTTCTATGAGTTGTCTAGTTGTTTTTGATCCCTTAATTGGTTAACTGGCGATCTCTACTGGCCTGTGTGCTTTCTGAGACTGTGTCATGATACACGCCATGCACCAGGGCAGAAACAGATGGCATGTGTTGTTTCCTGTAGCTTGACCCTCTCTTTCCGGAATAGAATAAACTAAAGAATTGTGGCTGCAGATCCCAAGCATGAGCCCTTGAATGTGGACAGGACACAGAGGGACTGATTGACAGGGCAAGGCAGGATAAGAGGGTCCCAGGAAGACTACAGGGTATCCATGTAATGTTTGGCTGATGCTGGGCCAGACCACTGCTCACACCGTTCATCTTCAGCGAGCATATGCGAAGACAGGAGAAAACTGTGTAGTGATGGGAATGAAATGATAAAAATGTCAAACTTTTAAAGAGTTTAAGAATTTCTTTTTTGAAAAAGAAGGGACTTTTGTGTATATAATCATTCAAGAATAATATATTTACAAATTTAATGACCTTGATTGTGTTAATAAAGCTATTATTCATAAAGAAAATGAAAACCGCCCCATGCTGGAGGCCGGCCTTGCTACAACAGTGTTTTGGAATGAGCATTATGTCAAACTACGCAGAGTGTAAGAGGAGAATCAAGACCAGTGCGTAGCAGTTGAGCGGGACAGATGGAGCCGAGCTGGTCTGACCCTTCAGCATGCATTCCACCCTGGACCAGGACCCGTTGTTGGGCAGTGGGGTGATGCCAGCAACTTTGCACATAATGTTGTAGACGTCCACAGATCTGATTGGAGCAGCTCTGAAGTTGGACTTGAAATCTAAAAGGCAAAAACAGACAAGCATATGATCACGCTTGGTCACTCAAAAAAGGAAGGTTATCTCAAAGATGGAGAAATTCTGCTCAGGCCCAGGGAAAGTCAGCTCCACCAATGCCTGTGGCTAAGTGATTTTAAATGAGGAAGCATATCTGGATGGTTATAGGATGTGAAGGAGCAAAGCTTCTGTTGTGGAATATTTGTTTACACTGTAAAGATGTGTCTCTGCCTAAGGTGACTTCCGATTGGTTTAGTAAGGAGCTAAATGGCCAATAGCTAAGCAGGGAGGATAGATGGAATTTCTGGGGAGAGAAGAGGAGGAGGAGCCAAGGAGTGCAGGAGATGACATCGAGATACAGAACGAGATGGACACAGACTGGGAGAGTGACAAAAGCCATGTGGTAGAACATAGAATAATAAAAAAATATGGGTTAGTTTAAGCTATAAGAGTGGGACAAACCTAAGCTAAGGTTGAGCTTTCATAATTAATAAGTCTCTGTGTCATTATTGGGAGCTGCTGGCCCAAAGAAAGATCCATCTGTATCCTATGGGACACAGAGACTTCAAAAGACAAGTTAGCAGACAGACTTCTTTATGCATAAGCTTGCTATGCTTCTGTTACAATGCAGCTTCCCTGCAGAGGGAGGCAGGCCAGCTAAGCTGTTCCATTTCTTTAGAGCACTGGGGAGCCAGGGGAGCCAAGGTAGATAAACTATTTTGCTGGGCTCTTTGAAAACGTCATGGATATCTTCTAGAACTTCTCACTAACCAGGGCTGATACCTTGGGTGCTGTCCATAACACTCACAACAACTTGAGAATGTCTCTCCCTTCTTGCCATACCAAAGTCACAGTTGTGTATGGCCCACGAAGCTGTACAGTCTCCTGGAGACTGATAGCTCACCAGCTGTGGCAGTATTGTTCTCAATATTTTTAGAGGATTAACTGAACATCACTTGTGGCCTTCCGGAAACAAATGACATGATTTATCCATAGGGAAAATGAGCAAACTGGTATTGGAGTTGAGATTTCAGGAAGACTTTAAGTGACCTTGTGCCTCTACTCAAAAATCCTGTACCAGCAGAGGGCATTAAACGTAGGTGTGTAAAGCAGGAGCTAGTCATGCACAGCATTATTCTCCAGGTGGCCCTCTAAGCAATAGGCCCAGTGTGCCTGTTACGTCCCTCTGGGACAGACAATGAATACGGAGCCCTTTTCCTTTAGACCCCTGGTTCTCACCAGTTCCTCACGTTATGGGGACCCCCGACCATGAAATTACTTTTGTTGCTACTTCATAACTGTAATTTTGCTGCTGTTATAAATTGTAATGGAACTATCTGTGTTTTCCTGTGGTCTTAGGAGATCCTTGTGGAGGGGTCATTTGACCCTCAAAAGGGCCACGGCCCATAGGTTGAGAACCACTGCTTTAAACAGTGGCAATCTCAACACAACATAAACAAGCAACTTTGCTTTTAGGCCCAAAACAATATATCTAACAAAATATCCTAAGCTATGTTAAGACTGACTTTAGGGTTGAGTTTTGATCCAACAACAGAGGCCTGTGATTTTAATATTCATCTTAGATTTTTAAAGGAGAGAAAGGGGACTTGAGGGGTGTCAAGTGGGGCTTTCTATCTCAGAAAAGAATCATTTCACTTGTTCTGCTAAGATGACCAGATATACTTAAGTTTAAAAGACACAAACAACATCTCAGAAATGGATATGGAAGTACTTTACTGACACCAATTCTGTCCCTGGAATTGTAATTATGAGATAAGGTTATAGACAGAAGCTTCTGGCACCCAGTGTATGAGATCTACAGCAACTTTTCAAGAAATGGATTTTATTAATTTTGGAAAATTAAAGAGTGAATTCAGTGCGAAGAGGCACCGGCATCCTACAGGGCATGGGAAATGGCACCTAAATCATAACGCCAGACACAACAACCATTATCATTAATAAATAAGTATGTTAATAGGCAGCAAGACAAAATTTGGGGTTGAAAATATTCACCATATAAATGGCTTAGAGGGTTTATTTTCTTGTGAGGAAGGGAGAATAAGGGTCCGAATTGCTTCAAAGTAAAAACTAGTTTTAAAAATCATGGCAGCACGGGAAAATACAAAAGAGGCCTTTCTCAATGTCAAGGCAAAATGTGTAATTGTACGAGGATGGTGGTGACACAGTACCGTCACATGAACCCACCGCAACCTCAGGGATCAATGGAAAGGCTGTCCAAGGATTATGAAAGCAACACTCCTCTCTCCTGCGGACTGGCCATGTGACCTGGGTGTGAGGGTCACACTGCTTATCACATGAAGCCAAATCATCATTGGTGTCGGGGGGGGTGGCAAGGCATCCTCTGACTTTTCAAAAATCCATGTTTCAAAGACAGAAAAAAACAGTAGAGATGAAATTCTGACTAAAGTCCTAGAGGATGATCGTATTTAAAATATGACTGAAAAAACAAAATTGTTTTCAATGCCTTACGCCTGTTCAGAAGGAGCACACAGCTTTCTGTTCTCAAGGCACCGAATTTTGAGCTCAAGCCAAAGACATGTAAACTTTTAGAAAATTCCCCGGTAGATGAACAGCACCTAGTCTAATTTGGAAGGCTTCCATGAAGTTCCACTAGCTCAAGATGACATTTTGAACCTAGGTTTGAATCTAAGTTATTCCCACAAGCTTAAACATAGGCATTACATTTGGGTATGAAAATTTATCGACTGAAAGAGAATGCCCTGCATGTTCATGCTGTGCCCAGCCACCTTTGGCTGTAGCTCTGAGACAGGCCTGCTGGCTTATGACCATTCACTGCTCACTGATTCTTGCTCTCACCGTGCCATCCTGAATAGAGGATCATGTGGTTGAAATTAGAAACTGGCACTAGCCACAGAATGGTGGTTGGTTGTTTTCCTTTCTCTCTTCTGGGCCCGACTTGGTGACTTGGAAGGCTGGTACCTGGGCAGTCGCGATGATGCCCAGCCTCCTCCCTAAGCAAGGAGCACAGTGAATCAGGAGGTACCTTCCTATGCAAGTGCAGCTAGATAGCTATTAAAGGGCTTGCTCTTATATTTTCTTCTGAGTAAACAGTCAGTGTGTAAAGCCGTTTAATCTTTCATGAGAATTGGAGCAGGAATGCGATGGTTTGTGAGAGGCTCTCAAGGAAACATTTTGCAATCAGCCAAGTCCATTTTCATCAGGGGTTGTCTTTTTGTCTGTAAATACTGGGGGGCTTCCTATCTGAATGGAGCTGATGACAGAGCTTTCTGTTAATGGACAAAACATCTCTGGTCAATTTAGCTCCAAGTTGGCGCAGTGCTGGGTATTTCATCTAGAACTTTTGATGCAGGGCTTGTGCTTTCAGAAACACATGAGACTTGCTGTTTATATACAGTCCAACAGACAACTGTTCAGCGTTCTTTACCTTACTACCCTTTCCTGGGTAAGAAAGCACTGATATTTTCGACTGAAAATCCTGATGATTGACTGACATTCTCCCAAATGAAGTCCATGACCTTTGAACGTCTTCTTTCCGATTTACAACAGACCTCGACATAGTTTCAAAAGCTCCATTCTTAGTTCCTCCTGCACTGAGGCTCTGTGAGTCCTGGGCTTGCCCAACGGGGAGCTCTCCTAATTTTCACTGGCCAATGGCAATGCACCCAGACATCCTCTGGTCTCCTGGACCTGTGTTGGGAACTCAGCCAGCAGTCTATAAATGTTTGTTGTTACTGATTCCAATACTGACTTTGGGATTTGAGAATCACATGTGGGGTCCCATGGGGGTCACCAATGGTTTTTCCAAGTTCAGGCTCTTAGCAGCTCTTTTGTGGTAAGTGAAGTAAATGAAGACAGACAAAATAAGAAGAGAGAATTGACATGGCTGGTGTCGCTACTCGGATGGGCAGAGCAGAGCTCACATACAATAGGAAATGAAAGAGTGGGCTTCCTTGAGTTGATCAACATGCAGAAATATGCCTTGGGAATGCAGAAGTCAGGGGAGAATGCTTAATAAAGGAGCTGGTCACCTGATGCCTAATAGCTGTTGGAGTGATTACTCCCATCTCCCTCACCCCTTGATGTCTTTCTTTGATGACATGTTTCTATCAAAGTGTTTGTTAGAATACTCGGTAAAGTTTTCCAGTGTGCAGATTCATAATGCTCTCTCAATTAAGTCAATGACCAAAGAGACTCTTTTCATTTGTCTTTTCTTCCAGACCTTGGGAATATATCTGATCAAGGAAAGATCAGCAAAATTTTACTTTCATACAAATAAATCTCGTCATTCTGGCTCATTCTCAAAGTCAATCTCAAGGTCATTTCTGAGCCTGCCTGCCCTGGAATACATCCTAGTTTCTAGTTGGACTCTAAATGGACCCCACAGGGCTGGATATTCTAGACAAAGCAGGGCTACTTAAGAGTCAGAGTCCAGGAAGCAATGGTGTCAACCCAGAGACCCACAGCTGTCAGCAAACTGGGGTTTGATAAGCTTTCCTGGACATCAGATAGCTGTGAAAAAAACGTCTTGATGAATTAAGTAAAAAATGAATCACAGACATGTGGAATACATTTTCGGCACTATACTCAGGATTTAAAATTTACAAGGAAAAGTATTTGGTCACAATTGCCAAACCAAAGAAGCATCTGAAAGGAAGCCAGCCAAAGATGTTTCACGGAGAGCGGCTGGATTTGCTTAGCTTGGCTCATAAAGAGGGTCCATAAAAGAAACTGTTCCAGCTATGTACGAGTGTGGTTAGTCCCTATTAGTGCTGCTTCCTTGGAATGCTGCCCACCAGTGTTCAGTCACCTCCTTGCCTACCAGGTCCGAAGGCCAGGAAGATGCCTCTCATGTCCATGAGTTCGTTGTCATATCCATGCCAACCTCGCTGCCAGCCTTCCCGCTTGCCAGTGTTGTTCATCCAAAATGGAAGCGTCTCTCGATTCTGCAATCAAGAAGGGCAATGGTTTTATATCGCCCCTAGGCAATCACAACCAGCGGGCACACTGACTGCAGTGTGGAGATTTACTCATCAGTGTGGCTGAGACTGGGGGTCGCTCAGCTTCAGCCAGACCGCTTCCGACCTCAGGTAGCTCCGACCCTTGGCAGCAGCCTCCTACATCCCTGAACACCTCTGGTTTAGGGGCTGTTTTCTTACCCGGAGATGAATCACATCGTGTAATAAGGCTTGGACCCACGAGACACAGCATGTTAGAGATAGGGGTGTTAAAACGTGTCCACGGTATAAAAGCTGATTCACTCTTTATCCCAGATTCCTGCCACAGAGCTCCTAAAAGCCTTGGAATTTCCCGGGTGACAAGAAGGGCTTTTGTTATCCCTGATGAGCCTGTCCCTCCCCTACCAGAGTCTATTCAGAAATGACCACTAGATTGGGGGACTAGATAGGCTCACCCAGGAAAGAAGCCTCCTGATTAGAAGGTTTTAGCATTTGTTCCTGTTGCCCAACCACTGGAGAGAGTGAGGTTGCTGGCTTTTGAATCCTGTCATGTAACCAATACAATATCTCATCCCCACAACACAATTCCCCAGCTACAACCCTGCCAAGCATGGTTCAGACACCTTCCAAGGAATTAAAGCTCTGTGCCCCTCACCTCCCATCCACATTGGTCTACATGGTTGTTTCTAGTTGTGTCCTTCATAACAAAATTGTAGGCGCAAGTATAGCACTTCCCTGAGTCCTAGGATCCATTCTACTGAGCTGAAGGCAGAGGGTGAGAACCCCAGCCAAATCAGGCATAAGTGTCGGTAGCCTGGGGACCCAGAGCTTGCATCTGCAAGTGAGTGGAGTCTTGCAGGACTGAACCCCTTAGCCTATGGCTGCTCTAACTCCAGGCATTAGTGTGGGGGTAAAATTGTTGTTCGGGTACCGAGATACTGAAGGTTGTTAGAAAATACGATGTGTATAGAGTCAACTCATTTTGTAGCAAAGCAATCAGAGCCTCAAGGGTCCACTTAGCCCCTCCCAGTGCCCCTCCCACAACACACTCCAGGGCATTCTTCTTCCAGCCCCCCTCTTGAGACAACGCTGTACTCATTCTCCCCTGCTCCCTGTATTTGAAGATGGCTCCCAAAGTCCTCCTGTGTCTTCATTTCCTTCAACTCCTCTCCACCCAGGGAAGAGCATCAGGGAAGCCATTTCCCTGTCGTTTTCTAGACTACATTTCCTTGGGCTGCCGGGGTTCAGTTGTGGTGAAAACGAGCTTAACGCTTTCGTGGGTCCTGAAGAGCCCACAGCAGGCCAAACACAGCCCTGGCCATTTGTTGTAGACAGACCCTGTGCTTTTGACAGTCTGATCACCTTCCTGATGAGAATTCACCGCCGCAAGTGTTTCAAACGTGGAGTAGAATTAAATGGCACAATCGCCGGTCATTTCTAGGTTGAGGTCCAAAGCTACTATTGGTATCAGGTATTTATAGGTCCATGGCTGAGCCTGAAGTTTGCAATCATCACAACATCCTACTCTGGACAACCCTACCTTTTATCGTTCATAATTAAAAGCTCTACAGCACAGGGAGGTTAAGTGAAAGTCTCCGTGTCACACAGCTAATAAGAGGCAGTGCCGTGCCAGAACTGGAACTCAGGTCTGCTTGTCAGTCATCAGACAAATTCTACCATCCCGAAGCCACAGTGCTCCTGGTGAAACTGGACCTCGAAGAGTCTTTCCATGTCCTGAGTCCTTACCCGTCTTGTGGGGTAGAGAGAGGAGAGTTTGCACTTGGTTCGGCCATGAAGCTGAAACTAGGTTCCCACTCTCCAGTTCTCTGATCCCAAGCAGAAGTTACGTTACTCCTCTGAACTTCACTTTCCCCATTGAATGTAGGAATACTCAACACTCACCTTGTGGAGTTTGGGAGGCAGGGATGACTATGTGTTAAATACTTGGCACACAGTAGGTGCTCACAAAATGGCTGGCCTGGTCACCAGATGCCACTAGCTGTGGAGTGAGGCACTCGGGCTGTGGGGTTGCAGACTCCTCTGCTTCCTCAGCCATAACACATTGCATAGCCATCCAGTCACACCCCATAAATCGCTCCTGAGCTTGTCTGCTCTCTGAAGGGTGAGTTTTCATTGACTCTCCGTTTCCTGGCTTTCCGTCGTGTCTCGCCCCTCCCCCCTCCAGCTGTAGCTTGTATGTTTTCCACGGACACAGTATTACTGCATTGCTGACTTCTCATGCTGCCTTTTGTTTTTCGTGTGTCAGCTGGCTGCAGTGAGGCTCTCAACACATTCCAGTCTAGCTTCATCAGCTAACTGACTCTGTTGCTTTTCCCGCTTCCTGTCTTCAAGGCAGTGAAGCTGGAAGCCCTAAGTGGAACAATTTGATTCCTCAAATCTCACTGCAGATGAACCCTGTAGTATGTCTGCTCCCCACAGTCAAGGGGAATGAAACGCTATAATCTACAAGGCTACCATTTCTTATTGCACAAATAAATACAATGGTATTCTCAGCCCTGAAGGTGATTGGGGAATTGCCCAATCAAAGATAAATCAATACTGTTTATTAAAGTGGCAAGTTGTCCCAGAGAGTCAAAATCCCTAAAAGCTATTTTTTATAGATATAAGTAATAATGAGCTGGCCATGTTAGGAGGGACTAATTCTTTTACAGTGAGTTGGTGGACCAGGTGATATGTAAACACACTTTTAGTTTAAGATTATGCTTTTGGCATCTTCCTATTGTACCAGCATCCTCTTCTTGTCACACACGTGTGGAGCTATACAGTATGAAGGCTATGCCACAGCTCTTTGAGATCAGAATGGGAAATTCTAGCTTTGGGGTCTTCCGGCTGCTGGTTGAGAAGCTGACCCTATCCGGACCCCTACCATGGACTGCCACACAGTGCCACCTTGTGACAAGCTGGGGAGGTAACCGGACCAGTTAGATCTGGCCAAAGGTGAAAAACATGTGAACGTGTGTGTGGTGTGTGTGTGTGTGTGTGTGTGTGTGTGTGTGTGTGTGTGTGTGTGTAGAGAGAGAGAGAGAGAGAAGACAGGAGAAGGAGACAGGGTTGCAATGAGGAGGTGGCAAGGAGAAGCCTATGATGAGAAGCAGATAACCTACAGCTCCTCCTCCATGGCAGGACCTGGGGGACACTGCTGGTGTGAGGCTTGACCCTAAGGATGAGAAGAGAAGGACTTTTACACTGCTCGTCTCATATGGGACAAGACCAGAAGAGAGAGACAGCCAGAGTGCACAGTCACAGGGCTTTCTACTCTCACCTAGGGACGTGCCAGCCCAGGAAGGTCACCAGCTGTCCCAGTTAGCTGCCATGGGGACTCGAGAGAGTCAAGACTTCAGTTTTAAAACTGGACCAGGCCAAGGCAAACCAGGGCAAGTTGATGGCTCTTCATTAGCACTATGTGTAGAATTCAATGATCTTCACACCTTATGACCTTTCCAGCTCTTCTGGTACCTCCCACGGCCCTGCCATGCACGTGGGTTGATGCAGCGGACAGGAAGGCTGCCAGGTGTCCGTCCCATCATGCACTATTCAACACTCTGATCATTTCCAATGGGAAGGAACTAGATATTGACAGCACCGGACAATGGAACCCTGGGAAAAATGGCTGAAGGCTTTGGATTTGGATTCGACTTCTTCCATGGGTGCCTGTGCTCCGTTTCCAGCCCACCACCATGACGTCCATGATGTACCCCCACTTTCATTTGGGGTGCCAGAGGAAAAACGGTAAGAGTTGCAGTTTCCAGATCAGAGCTCTGTTTCAACCATCCTTGGCGTTAATAAGGAAAAGTGACGTTCACGTCACAGTCAGCAGGTGAGGTTCGTTCAGGCCTTGCTGGGGATTGTTGCTTTACATTCCACCATCCGGGACTCCTTGTGTTAATCTGCAGTGAACTAAGAGTGCCTAGAGGAGTCAGGTTGGGAGTGAGGGTGGAGGGGACAGGATGGGAAAAGGAGGAAGCAGCCTGAGCAGCGTGGATGCATTGTTTCCTGTGTGCACACAGACAGGGTCCTTGCTCTGTTGGGCTCATTTTACTCACCTACCATTGTGTGTTTGGAGTACATTAGGACGTCTGAATCTTACATTTGCTCCCATTTCCCCTGACAGATTGCTGAGTCTCAGGGAAACGTACCCCCGAGGAGACAGGGAGGCAGTGCGTGACATCTGGCCTCTGTGTCCCTCCTTGAGCCACAGAATGACTTCTGGAGATGTGGACATGCGACCGGAATGAATGCTCTCCCTGGACAGAGGGCCTGTCACGGGACCTCACTGTGCCCTCCTCTTGGTTGATGCCTGCTTTGTCTTTTTTCCCATGGAGGCCACAGCTGTGGTGGCTGACTTTAGAAGTAAACACCCACTGTTCATGCTGGTGGCTCAGAAGCCAGGCTGGGCGTAGACTACTCTGAGCATGTCCTACAGCCCACTCTTGGATGCCTGTATTCTGTAGGTCCAGGTGTGTCAGAGCTTGACCTCCACCCCATTGGAGCATGGAAACCCCAGGAAGCCATCTACCCAGTACCATTAAATAGTAATTCATCATTTACTGAAGATAGGCTTTGTTTTTATTGACTAATATCTCAAGGTCAGATCATGTGTTTTCCATGTGGCTCTGGGTACAGCTTGAGAAGCCCTTCCCAGAAAGGCCACAAAGCTTCAGGGATGGCGTAATCAAGCATACAATCAGCTTTGAGCCAATGGACTATCCGGGCAGTCAGCTTTCTCTGACTGGGCTCTGTTCTTGTAAGCAGGTGTCTGAGGAGCACTGGTTGTTATGTGTTAACCGTCTTCCCTCTTCTGCCACTGCTGTTATTTGGATTTGGATCTGGACTATCCCCAAAGGCCTGAAGTGTTAAAACGTTGATCTCCAGCCATGGTACCAAAGGCAAGTGACAGAACCTTTAAGAGGTGGGCTCTAGGGGGAGGGAGTTGCATCACTGGAAGATTGACTTTGAAGGTGATACTTGGACCTTGTCCCTTTCCCTCTCTCTTTGTTTCACAAGGACCAAAAGGTGGACGGGCCTCCTCTGCCATGTGCTCCCACCACAGTGTGAGGTGTTGGCCCCAAGCAGGACCAATGAGTCAAGTAAATCTTTTTGTCTTTTCTAGAGGATTAACTCAGCTATTTTTGTCACAGTAACAGAAAGCAGACTAGCAAAACCACTGAGTATATAAATCTTTTTCTCCTTAAGTTATTTTCTTTTAATCTTGGTGCGGGGAGAGGGTGGGGAGAGTTTGTTATAGAAATCCAATTAAAATTAATAAAATGTGAAGCCTGCTTAAGGTGCATTAGAAAGCTAATAACAAATCAACACACTATCTTTTCGTAGGTCATGCTTTTCACGGGTGTGTCCCTCTTCCAAAAAGAGAGGGACACTAGAGTTACACAGCGTAACTCAGAATGAGAAGGAGGAGCGACAACGTCCCACTCGTGGGAGGCGCTGCTGAAAACACCTGTGAGCTGAGAGCCGGTCTTGGATCTGTGCTGGCTTGAGAAGGAGTTGTGCTTTCTCCTGATCATCGCATGTCTGTAGTCGCAGCATTCTTCCCGGAGGGAAGGGTAGGGTGTGTAAGACTCAAGACTCTACCTCCAGGTACATGGCTAAGAAGCTCAGAGAGCTGGAGGATTCACTAAAGCTTACAGAAGCGGGTGATGGCTGCTGGGCCAGGGGAGGTCGCTGAGGTAGGGGAGCAACACAGCTGTCTGCGGGTCATCCACAGAGCTCCATGGATGCATTGTCTATGAGTTGTTACTCAAACTGGGGTAGGCTTTCCAGGCATACGGCTTCCGGGAGTCACCTGGACTGTCTAGCGGGTGACAGATGCTCCTGTCAGTACCACCAGGAACCTCACTGATTCATGGAATGATTGCTTTGGTCTGCTATTAGTGCCATGTCTGAGATGAAGAGACTTTGTATCTGAGAGAAGGCCACACGGGCCCATTGGCTTAGCTTTTTTAAAAAGTGTTAGGCAGGGTGTCTTCCCATTTCAGGTCCCTAGGAGCCCCTGGGAAGCAGTGGTCTTAAACTTGTGTATGTGTTCACCACACGCCACTCCCAAAGAGATATCCTAACAGTTACTCTGTTTCTATCTTAGCAGGACTTAATTACTCAGCGTTGGTCCTCTGACTTGACCTTGGAGAGTCTCCTTCCACCTATAGCTTAATCCGTGGCCTCGAGAATGGTAGACAGCATAGTCAGCAAGGGTCAAGAGAAGCCGGGGTAGAGTGAAGTGTTGGACAGATCACTCAGAGGGCCAGGGATTCATCTTTCTCTTTTCTGGGATGACATTTGTTGAATCGTTTTGAGGAGAGTTGGGGGAGGCATGCACTCCCAGACAGCTTCCATATGTGACCCCAGTCACTGCGGAGAGCAAGCTGTTGTAGCATTCATTCTACATCTGACTTCCTGGAGCTCAATTAGTTGAGCCTGGACAATACCACTCTAGCTGCCATAACCACTCAGAACCCACGCTTCCCAGATTGTCTTGATTTCCCCCAAATATTTTGGACCTAGGCCTAACTGCCATTCAGCCACAGGCTTTAGAATTGAGCCTGGTGTGTCATACCCTTTACTAGTTTTCAAAGCAAGTCTTTCCTCTGTAGATAAATATTGGCCTCCTGTAGATGCCTGGGTCCGTGTGTCCCCACTTGTTTAACTGACACAGGGGCCGGGATGATGAACATAAAGTGACATGCTTCACAGTCCCTTTCCAGTCTCTTGCTCCAGCTTGCTTTTATTCAGCTCAGTAGACACTTTCCAGGACAGGTCGCAGAAATTGGCCCTTGAAAGCTGGCTGGGGACTGGGTGAGTTGACATGTCCTGTTCATTCTGGGCTCACTAAAGCTAGATTTGGCACTCATAGTTTCAACACCTTCCCAGTTGAGATCTTTTCTAGAGCTCTTAAGAGTTAGATGAAGTCTTGACATAGCTCTCCTTTCCTTGGTAATTGTTTACCAACCTATGAAGTGAATAGTCTTGGAGTAAGCGGTCAATGCAGCAGTCTAGGTATTTATTAGTCTGTCCAATCCACTCACAAATACTGTGACTCTACTACACTTAGTATTCACTCTTCCTGGGCAGAGGCCAACCTCAAAAGACCTTATCAAAGACCTGTCTCTAGGAATCTCCACTCCAGACCAGGCAGTCAAGAAGCAGGTGAATTGGTACCCAGCAGAAGGATTTGAAGTCCCAAGAAAGTCTCAAATGATGATTATTAGGACCTTGTAAACTGATGGAGAGAGAGGCTTCAGTTGGGCTTTCAAGGACAGGAAGGACCTTGAGAGAGTTAGGACAACCCAGGGATCCTGTTGACTACTTATGGGGCTGATTGAAGGAAGGTCCTAGGAGGGGCTTAATTCAAGATAGTTGTTGTCACTGTTGTTGACTGAAAATTTTAAAATGAGAAGTTCTTGATATATTGACAATGTGAAAAATTTTAAATGACTCAGTGTCCACGGATGTATTTTTGGAGGTTCACTTTGCTTTTTAATGACCCCTGCATGACAAAGCAAGATTAGTGTCACGGTTTCTTCTCACACTTGGTATTGCTATTTAAAGGTTTATGAGACGTGCTCACCATTTCTGCATCTGCAAGAAAATGAATGGAACTGGAAATCATGTTTAGTGAAATAAACCAGCTGTAGAAAGGCAAACAGTGTTTTCTCTCATGTGCAGAACCTAGATTTAAAATGTGGTGTGTGTGTGTGTGTGTAAGTTTTTGTGATAGAGTTAATTTTAAATGTTTACTTACAACAGGATTTCCTTTGTTGTGAAACTACTCACGAATGAAAACTTGGTTTTATTTTTGTGTCTTCCTTCCTTCCTTCCTTCCTTCCTTCCTTCCTTCCCTCCTTTCCTTTCCTTTGCTACAGTACTAGGGATTCAATTAGATGTTAGCTTTACCACTGAGCTAGCGGTACTCCCAAGCCTCCTTTTCATCATTACTCTTTTTATTTGGAAGTCAGGGTCTTCCTCTCTGTAGCCTAGGGAAGCTTGCAATCCTCCTGCCTCCATGCATTAGCCCCTCCCCCTCCCCCCACCACATAGCTGGATTACAAGCCTACTCTACCATGATGGACCAAGACTTGATCCTGTAACTCTCCTTTTTGCATGAACTGTGGGTATAGCCCATTCCTTCAGACTCGAGAACCCTGTTTTATGCCCAACAACACTGTGCTTGGTTTCAGCTCAAGGTGGATTCTGGCTGCTTTCGCCCCCAACACCTTCTATCTCCTTCCCATCCTGGCTTCTTTCCTTTTTTTTTTAACTTTTTGTTCTACGTTTATTAATTTATTTATTTATCATCTATCTATCTTTATTTATTTATTTATGGTTTTTCAAGACAGGATTTCTCTGTGTAACATCCCTGGCTGTCCTGAACTCACTGTGGACCACAGAGTCTGGAGTTCTGGAATTAAAGGCATGTGCCACCACGCTCAGCTCCTGCTTTACCTACCTTTAATACCTCAAGTCTTCCTCTTGAAGTTTTCTTTTTTCCCCTCCCTTCCTCCTTCCCTCCTTTCCTTTCTTTCTCCCCTGTCTTTCTTTCTTTCCAGACAGGATGCCATGCATCTGAGGCAGGCCTGGAGCTTCCTACGTGGTCAAGGATGACCTTGAACTTCCGTCCATGCCCCCCTCCCCCCCCCCCCGTTTCCACCTCCGTGTGCTAGGATTGCTGGTGTTTACCACAAAGGCCAGTTTATGTGGTGTTGGGGATGGAACCCAGGGCTTGCATGATAGGGCAAGCAGTCTACAAGCTGAGCTACACCCTCAGCCCTAATTATATATTTTAAAAAATTGTTCATGTAGTTGTCCATGGTGTGGATTCCTTTTTTTTTTAGATGGGGTTTTCTTTGTTCTTAAGCCCACATCATGAAATACCTGGGCATCCTTGCTAACTGGCTGATTCTCACTTTTTAATAACTTAAATTAATATGTGTGATACACACAAAAGTAATACATAATAGGATTACATAACCTTATAAGAGAAGATACTAATTTCAAGGAAGCGTGACTCAGCTCCTCTGAGTGAGTGTGGGGAGATGGGTGGGACCCAAAGCTAGGGACAGGCAGAGACTTTTTCAGGCTGCCCCAGGCCTCCTAGAGTGGATTGCTGGTCTCCTGTTGTGCCATGCCCCATGCCCTCTCTGATGTTTTGTTTGGAGGCCCTGTCTTTTAACCCCAGCTTCTGCATCTCTTTGGTGCTGTGACTGTGGTTTCTAATAAGGCAGCACAGTGCATCTCAGAAGCAAGTCTCACCCAGACAGGGATTTTCTAGTCACATCAACCAGTTGGTTCATGAGACCTAAGGGAAAGTTGCTAACCGTTTCTAGACAGGAGCAGATTTTCATCGTCCTTAAAGAAACTGCACTACAAGAATTTCTTGTTTATATGGGTTTCTTTTAAGACCCCATCTTTGTAATTACCCTACCGTTTCTTACAGAGAGGCCCTCCCCACATGCATTCCATAGTTTCAGGGTCCCACATTACTTGTTTCAACCAAATTATCTCAAATAACCCCATAGTCTGTCAGTCTCCCCTCATTCCATTCTGTAACCTCAGCACTTGAACTAAACATAAGAAAGCAAATGACAGATACACATGGTAATGCTAACACACTAGTGGTGACCTGCTATGGATTAATCACCACAATTGATTGACCTCCAGGACTTCAGAACAACTTTAGGAGAATTTTATAAAATGAAAGATGCTTCAAAACAAAACAAGTAGGTTCTTTGCTATGTGACTCTGGAGGTTTTTCTTGATGGATTGATGTCAGTGGGCCTCTAACCAAGTTGCCTGTGGGCTCCACAAAGGGCTGAGAAACATTGTTTTTGTATATTACAGACCCCATACATGGCATGGATAAACCTGATTGTGTTCTTCTTATTATTTTGTATTGCTTTTTGTATGATGAAGGGATTTGGGGTGGGAATGATGATACATGGCAAGGACATAGTTTAAAATATTCTCTCTCAGTCCATGTGAACTTCAAACAGGATGATAAACTCAAGAGTCACATTTTAGTTTCTGGAAGTGGTGGTGTTGGAAGGATTCTCTGGAAACCCTTTATGTCTCTAGATATTTTTATAAAGGTTTCCTATGGAGACCAGGTTGGCCTAGAACTTGCCATCCTCTCTGTGATTCCATCTTAAGAGACCCTGTAAACAGCGTGACATAGGTAGGTGGATTCAGTCTAAGTAGAGCCTGGCTGGCCTCTGCCTTCTGATGATGCCAGTGGTTTCACCAGATCTGCCTTGCTTTCAGTTCATGGTGACTAAACATTTCTCCCTGTGAACACACAGGAATGACTCAGTCTTGCTCAATAACTGAAGCACATGTCACAGAGTCCTGTGATTTCATGCCCTACTGATTCACCATCCACTCACTTGCCCAAATGCCCGTTTCCACCCATGAGGAGCCCGTTGCCTCTAGTTATCTGTTGGTCTTGAGTCCTACACATCACTGGCTTCAGCCACTTACTACTCCTTTCACCCTGTAGTCTGATGCGAGCACAGCCCACCTTCAAACTCATGTCGGAAGGAATGCTCTCATCCGGAATGGACCATATCCCCAGTGTGATCATAGATTCATCTGGAAGGTAGGCCGTTCGTAAGAGTCACACATGAATTCTCCTGAGCCTGGAGCCCAGGAGGACAAGAAGAAGTCCAGCAGGCCTGAGGCAAGTTAGGGTTCCAGCCAAAAGTGAAAGATAATTTAGATTGTTAAAAAATAAGAAACAAAACGAAAAACGCAACCAGCTGGTAATTTGGGGGCCCTGGGTCCATGCAGTTCTGTTTTCTAAACATTTCTCACCTGGTGAAAGCAACACAGGGCTCTCCTGGCTTTCCACTGCCCTAGAGCAATGGCTTCGGATCACAGTAATTGTTCTGCTTTAAGCTAAACAGGTCGTGTGGAAGCTTGAGTAATCGAGTTAAGGTCAATTTATTACAAAACAGAGTATCTGGAGTCACCATGTCTAAATCTCGACTCTGGGTTCCTGCCTGAAGCTTGGGTTCAACCAGCCTTTTGATTTGCTAAACAAGGAAGCGGTGTGACAAAGGACTCCTCGAGAAAAGATGTCAGTAACTTACTTACCTGTGGGCTGTGGATAGGGTTTGAACAGTGAGGGGAATGTCATAGATTTTATAATTACCTCTGTTATGAACCACCCTTCATCGGCCACCAAAGTCAAAGGAGAGACAAATTTTCCTTTCTTGTAATGGAACCTGCTAGGTATTGCTTCTTTTTCATACACAGTCATGTGTTCCACCGAACTGAGTTTGTTATATATCTGCAAAGAAAGGCAAAAATGAGCTGTTTGAACACTCATGTTAGACCTGTGAGATAGATTACACACACACATAGAGAGAGGGGGGAGGGGAGGAAGAAATAGAGAGTTTAACTACATTATTAAGACACTTTTTTTTTCTTGAGATAGGCTTACTATGTGGCTTTAACTGATCTCACAATGTAGATCAGGCTGGCCTTGAACTCACAGAGCTCAGCCTGTCTCTGCCTCTCCAGTGCTGGGATTAAAGGTGTGTGCAAAGACAGACTCTTGTATAGCTTGCAAATCAAGCTGGCTTTATCTAGGAAGGTAAAAGATCCATATGCTCTCTGACATAAGAGATGGACTCCTAGGGAACATAATGGAAAACTCTGTGTGTGCACCTGTAGATGTTTGCAGAGAGTAGCCCAGACACATAGCAGAAGAGGCAGAGAAAGAGATAACGGGGAGAGATAAAGAAATACCGTTGCAGTTCTGGGGCGAGGGGCTATGAAGCATAGTAAAGACAGACACATCTCATCTGCAAAGACATGTAGAAGACTCAAGGATCTCAAATGGAGCAAAAATAATGTAAGTTGTAGAAAACACTGCAAAGATTCTTATATAAAACTCAAGTAACCACACAACCATGCAGGAAATGGTTACTTCTTGGTGGTTTTTCTGAGAGGGTAGAAAGCTCATGGGATCTGGGAAGGACTTTTAGAAAATGTCATAGGTCATGCCACCATTCTGCTTCTATCAAATATGAGGTGACCACTGCAACATTATCCTATACTGCTTAGAGAGTAAAAGATAATGTATTGTATTTTATTTTGTAATATGCATATATATTTTTTGTAAATAAGCAGTGACTAGTGAAACTTATTTGTCAAAATTCTGTGCACTAACATTAAGTGGCAATTTCGAAAAAGGACTGGCTGACATTAAATACCACCAAAATCAGAGAACAGAGAAAAGGTATGTGCTCTTTAACTTGTCACTGAGATTATGTCCTGCCCATACGTGAGTCTTAAAAGCACTAGGAATTGTTTATTAACCATATTTTCAATTCCATAATGAAGATGTAAAGTCTACACACACTTCCAATATTTAGCAGAAGCTCAAATATTTGTGGCTAAAATTAAAATCAACCTGCTAATGCTGGTTTGCTGGCCACTAGCCAAATCAGATATGTATTCCTGAATCGTAAAATTGTGTTTATTCACTCACATCTTAAAAAATAGTCTTTGGGCTGCTGAGTAGAAAGGTGTTCATAGCTCCACGGATTAATCTCCCCTATTTGACTAAAAAATGATGTATACAGGATGCAGAATTATTTTGAATAAGTGTAAATCTTCTGACATAAACAGGTCTTGCAGATTGTTGCGCCCGTCACACGACACAACTGTCACCAAACACAGCCCCCACTTTTGAACCGTTACCAACTGCTATTGGCTGCTGTCAGGGCTTGGGATGCGCATCCTGCTGAAGGATGGCTCTTCCCAGATCCTGAGTGTTGATGCCCAAGCATTCTGGAGGTGTCACATGCCTAAGTGCCAAATTGGAGACAAAGATGATCTTCCTTGCCAGGGAGACAGAGCTGCTTCCCAGGAACCTGCCAACGTCTAACATATTCTTTCTGTTTTCATATTTAGAGAGTTGCTGGGACACTGTGTAAACTTCATTTCCTGGCTACAGAGCTCAAGAAAACAAAAAAGGGGCATTCCCTGGTGAATGTGGAAAGGCTAAGAGCAGTGGTGTTGTTGACAAGAGACCTCAAATGAGGGTAAGCAAGGAGGTGGTGGGGCTGCCTATAGGCCAAAGGACCAGACTCTGGCTTCCACCAGGACCCTTTGGCTAGTGATGACTACTCATAGGCAACTGTTCTGTTGCCATGAGGCTGAATGAAAGCAGGAGCTCCCAGGATCCTCCTGGATCCCCCATGGCTGGCATCGTCCCCTCCCCTAAGAAAGACAGATGCTTCCTGGCCCATGTCAGCTCCGCTGGGAGTGGACAGATGCGGCAGCCATGCACTGGGAGGTGGTAAAGCTACATGAGTGCTAAGTTGTTAGCCAAGAGTGTCACCCATTTCTCCTTCTCCTTACCACCCACTGCCATCCCTAAATGTTGTTTTTTGAGAGTGTGAGCATAGGGTACTGAGTTCCCGAAAGGGGATTTTGTTCCTCATCTGCACACTGTGGAAACTTGACCACACCCTCCTAGGAACCTTCTCGTTTGATGGTGGGCTTCCTACGGGGCGCATACATAGTCTTCACTGTGATTTCAGCCTGCTTCTGTGTACTCCCATGGATTTTCAGGCGGCACTCACTGCCACACTCATGTGCAGGGGGGCCAGGATTGTCGTTGCCTTGTACCCAGCTGATGGCAGAACTGGGATCAGAACCTAAGAGGTGTGGCCAGGAAGTCAGGGCTGACCCACTGCACACACGTGGCCTATGCTGTCTTCTCTTGTCAGCTGTGTGTCTCCAGGCCCCGGAGAAAAGGAATCGGATGCAGATCAGAGCTGCAGCTTCATTCTCAAGAGTCTGACTCTGGCAGCCCCCTCAGTCGCTTGTCCACTGATAAAATAGCCCTGATAAGGGCGTGTTGACACGTGCCAGGTGTTTGCAAAGTATGGAGCATCCTTTGTCTCATTTAACTTTTATTAAATTCAGCGGAGGTGGACACCATTACAGAGTAAAGCACACACCCAAAATGAATGACCTTCATAAAGGTCACTTGGTAAATGAATGGCAAACTCAGTCACCTGATCTCCAAAGTCTGTGCACCTCACCCCGTTACACCGTTTATTAAGAAAACTCTAGGAAGAAGATAAAGCTCAAACCGGGGGCCAGTGGGCACCTGTCACCTCCCCTCCATCATGGCGGGTCTTACCTCAGAGTGTTTTCCAGGGGCCGGCCACAGGCTCACGACGGGCCCTCGGTCCTTCACCTGCTGCAGGTCATCCAGGCTGACGTACTTGCCCAACTCAATCACTTTATCCATCCAGAAGATGTCCGTCATCCCATGGTCTGAGAAAATGATGACATTCAGGTCATCCTGCAGGCCTCGTTCCTGCGGGGTAGACACAAGACGTCACCACATTGACTGGGCAAATGTCCTTTCACACACACATCCTTGCAAAGAGGTGCTTTTAAGCTTTTGGTTAGAGGGGAAAGGAGACTGCTAAAGTTGAAACCCACGATTAACCCCCACGTCCAGGATAAACCGGCCAATAGACTTACTAATAGTGCTAAGAAGCAGCCCAGCTCTCCAGTCAAGCCAGGCAATAATCTGTATTAGATGAGCTTAATCCCACTGGCCACCCATGGAATAAGAAGTTTCTTGGCACCCTAAAAAGTACAGTGTGAAGAAAACAGGGCCTCACACTGGCCTAGTAAACAGATTGTTGGAGGAAGTATGAAGGAGTGGCCGTCATGGAGATGACAAGAAATGACAGGAGGAAATGCCGGGTCAGCTGCCCTTGCTTTGGGTCACCTGGATCCACTGGATCATGTACTTCAGTACGGTGTCCACAGCTTTGAGGGCGTCTTTCCGCTGAGGTGATGAGGGGCCGAAGTGGTGACCTTCCACATCAATGCGTTCATGGTATATGGCTGCTAGGTCAGCTCGGCCGCTCCTGGAGGGAACACAGTGAGACAGAGACCCACAGTTGAAGGAGACCTCTGGCAGCTTGCTCCCGAATGACCCACTGACCCTCTGCGAAGGTGTGAGAACCCCCAAGCAGACCTCCCAGTAGATCAGTCAAAGCCCACGTGTCCACGTAAACAAGGCAATACTAGGAGGAGACACCGTTATCTAGGTGCTCTGTGTCTACGGGTTAACTTTGTTTCCAGGCCTGGAGGTACAGGTACAAGTGTTCTCACAAAATAGCATTGCACACGAAGAAGCAGACTTCAGAGGGTTCTAGAAGTTTCCCACTCCCTGGCAGATTTCTGAGACACAGCTGGGACTTGGAAATGTACACTGGGCCTTTGAAAGCCCACCCACATCTACTCCATCTTGAAAACTAGGGAAGAGATTCGGAACATTCTCTGCCTGGCATCCCTTCTTTCTGGTCCCACACATCCTTTAGTGATGCCGATATTTTCTTCTGAGCTCTCTGGGGGTGCACATCATTAACAGCTCGGAGGGAACGCTGGTTTCAAGAGAAGTGAAATCATTCATCAGATGTTCTTTTCTCTTTTTAGGACAAAACAAATTGACCCTTTGTTAGTAAGGCCCATCACTAGCCTCCTCCACAGTGTGGATTGGGTTATGTTAGTATTTAGATTTTTCTCACAAGTGCTATGCTCATTATTCAGACTCCCTGGTGTGAGAATGACTCATTCAAACCTCCTGAGCATCTATACATGGTCAGACACAAAAGGTCCCTCTTGGGCCCCGTGAGTGTGTAGGCGGTGGGGGGGGGAGAAGTCAGTATTGGGCAGTATGACTGCCGTCCATATGCGGAAACTCGCTGACAGTCTGTGACTGGGAGGGCTCACTGCATCTGAACACAATGGCAGCTTCCATAAAACCTGTCCTGGAGATAAGCCTCCACATTTATCCACTTTACATACTGGCCTCTTAGGCATTCCAGATGTGCTGGTTTGGGCACTGCGTCGTCTGTTTAGGTGTCCACACTTCCAGCACGGGTCCTGGATAGGGCGGAAAATCCCACTTAACACACTGGCGACTTAATCAGATGTGAGGTTGACCGTGGCATTGGAGTTTAACGAAATACACCCAGCTCTCTTCATTTTAATACCCACTGTATGGCAGCGTCGTAGCGCACTGTTGTGTAGGCTGGCTTCTCCGAGGCTGTTTATCACATCTGAAAATCTCCATGTGGTCAGAAAGCTGGAGAGTGTCACAATTTACCTGATGGCATTGTTTCAGGAAGCTGTCAAGCTCAGATGCCTGGAACACTTGATTTGGGATGCTTGTGTTACAGGGAGTACACACAAGAGAGGTTTCTGCGTTAAGGTTTCATTGATTCATTAGGGACTGAAGTCCCTCAGGGCTGACAGCTCTTGCCTGTTTGGAGTTTAGCAGATAAATTCTTGGTAGCCAGCTGTTTCCGATGTGGGTCTGGTCTCTATCACAGGTCAGCTCGTTTGTTATGGGTTTGGGTGAGGCAAGCTGGATAGAAGTGCCTGCACGTCTGTTATTGGCCATTTATTGCTTTGAGGTTCAGGAACCTTGCCAGAAGGACATGTGGTCATCAAACCCAGTTCCCAGAAAGCTGCAGGGGGCCTCCAGCTCTAGGGTTTCAGGGACACCCAAGTCTCCTATCACCTTATAATTCTGTCTAGATTGCTTTGCAATATAAAAGGTTCATAATGTCATATGCACTTTTCTTGCTGAAGTAGGTTGGGAAGAGAGGAGAATTGGGCAGGGGGAAATGGAAGCAATTTAAAGGTATGGTTAGTTATTGACTCTGAAGAAGGATGATTTACTATTTAGAAAGAAGGACCCTGAAATGACTGTGCATGCCTTCAGTGTCATCTTGGAGCACTGTCCGATACACTCGCTTAAAAGTCACCAGACTTCATTCATGACTATCTTTCAGAGCCTGTAATGGTAGCTACTAGCTAGCAGAAAACTGATCAAATAAAATTTGAATTTTCTGAAATTGTGGTTTGATTATTCTCAGTGTTACTGGTATTTCTACATATGTCAATACACACATCTCATCTTTCTCCGGCTTCTCTTGTTCTTTCTTAGTTACGTGTTTCTAATAATCGCCTCCTATCACCTTGCTATTCCCATCCTTCAGTAGCAAACCGATTTGACCCTTGGCAGAATTCTCATAAATGATGGAGTACGTACATGTTAGATGTAATTGTGAAAATTAGCTTTTGACAGGAGCACAAACATTGTTTCAGAGCCTGGCTTCTCTTCTCAATAAAGATGTCTCAGATGAATGGCAAAAAATGTCTCTACAGCCCAGTTTCCCTGTCTGGGAAACCCACCTGCAGTGATTTGAATGAGAAATGTCCCCTGCAGTCTCATGCATTTGAAGCCATATCCCGTCTGATGGTGCTGTCTAGGGAGGTTTAGGTGGTGTGTGGAAGAAGTATGTCACCGTTTTCAGTCTTCTCTCTCTCTCTCTCTCTCTCTCTCTCTCTCTCTCTCTCTCTCTCTCTCTCTCTCTCTCTCTCTCTCTCTCTCTCTGCTTCGTGGCAATGGTTGAAATACACACTCTCAGCTCTCAGCTTTCCATTCCAGCCAGTATGCCTGCTGCCTGCTGCCTGCTGCCTGCTGGATCTGCCATTGTGGAATCATAAGCCCAAATAAACACTTTCTTCTGTAAGTTGCCTTGGTCATGGTGTTTTATTACATAACAGAAAAGTAATGCACTGCCATTTGAATGCTAAATGAGCGGCTGGTGTAGTACTGGACACATAGGAAAAAGAAAGGGAGGGAGGGAGGAGGGAGGGAGGAAGGGAGGAAAGAAGGAAGGAAGGAAGGAAGGAAGGAAGGAACGGAGAGAGAGAAGGAAAAGACATGCTTCCTTATGTTTGTGCCCTCATTACTTTGCCTGAGTGTGCAGGATTAGCAGGGAGGAGAATTTAATCCTTACTGAGCAGCAGCAGCAAACTTCTCCATTCTTAGTCTGGAGACAGAGGCAGAGAGAGAGAGAGAGAGAGAGAGAGAGAGAGAGAGAGAGAGAGAGACAGAGACAGAGACAGAGACAGAGACAGAGACAGAGAGAGTGAGACAGAGAGAGACAGAGACACAGAGACAGAGACACAGAGAGACAGAGGGAGAACCCAGTCCAGCCAAGGCACTTGAGCTGACTTCCTTTCCCAGGTGGCAGGAATTCTCTTGTCGTTCATCTGTTCCTTTATTAACAACAGCTGTGACTGGGGTTCTGAGACTCCAGGTTGCCACAGTATTCAGCGGTTCTAAATTCCACAGAAGTCGTCAGCCATCAGTGGCTTCTGTCTTTGCTTTTCTATGCTACGTGTTTGTGTGTTGGTGTTCTTTCCAGTTCTGAGCTTTAACCTTGGGCCTCATTCAGGATAACTGGCAGGTACGTAATCACTAAGCTACCTCCCAACCCTTATTTTTTTTATTTTGGGACAGGGTCTCACTAGGTTTTCCAGATAGGCTTTGTACTCACTCTGTGGCTCAGACAGGACTTGAACCTGTGAGCCTCCTGTCTCAACATAGCTGGGATGATGGGTTTGCACTACCAGGCTTGGTTTCTCCAGCTTCCTTGACCAGGTTGCATGGCAATCTGCTTGGTACCATGTTGGAAGCAGTTACTGCTCCCTCCATGCAGCCAGGACTCATTGGCTACCTCTACCTCCTGATCCCCTTTCTCTTCCTCCACAAACTACTCTTTAAGTCTGTCTAGTCTTTAGCTCCAGATACTTTCATTTTCCTCACTGAACCATGAACCTCCTGCAAACAGAACTTCCAAAGAGACAAACCAAGTAGCATGGACCATGAACTGCTTTGTGTTTCGGAAGTGGGGTGGGGGCGTGGCATGGTGTGCAGGGGCGCTGTCTGCTGGGTCCTTACGTGTGATAACAGGGCTCAGAAAGAGCAGTGAGCGGGGCTGGATGCCGCTGAATACATAAAGCTGCATTCCTTCTTTCTTAGTTACAGTTATATTGCTATGAAAAGACACCATGGTCAAGGCAGCTTCTAACAGTATTTACTCTGGGGCTTTGCTTACAGTTTCAGAGGGTGAATCTATGACCATCATAGCAGGAAACATGGCAGCAGGCAGGCAGTCATGGCACTTGACCAATAGCTGAGAACTTACATCTTATCTACAGGCAGCAGATGGAGGGAAGGAGGGAGGGAGGGAAGGAAGGAGGGAGGGGGGAGAGGACAGAGAGATAGAGGCACAGACAGAGGGGGGAGTGGTGTCTTTTGAAACCTCAAAGCCCACCTACAGTGACACATTCCTACCAATCCTTCCCCAAAGCAGTTCATTCAGTTGGGGACCAACCATCCAAATATATAAGCCTACTGGACTTTCTCATCCAAAGAACCACACTCCTCCAAACTGAAAGAGCCCCAGCCCCGGGATGGCCTCAGAGAGGATGCTTTTCAATGTCTTCTACCTCTCTGGTTCTTCTGCCAAGGCACCTTGGAGATGGGAGTATGGACAGGGCTATAGGATTAAGGAGCCATTTTTTTCAGTCACTTCACATACAGGGGAGTCTCTGGAAGCCTGTCCTACCTAAGCCTCCATCAAAAGTGGTGGGTGCTGACTCTTCATCCTAATAGCTTGTGAGGTTAAGAGATGGCAGTTAACCTTCAAGAGTCAATGATGTTTTTGTATGATGGTGTCATAATTAAAATTTGTCAACTTGACCCAGACCTAGACATATCTGTAAGGAGAGAACCTGATTTGAAGAGATCAGGTTGGCTTATAGGCTGTCTATGCGTCATTTTCTTGATTGCTGATTGATATGGGAAAGCCCAGGCCACTAAGGGTGGTACCATCCCAGGTATGTAGGCTTGGGCTATACCAGAAAGGTAGCTGAGCAAACCAAAAACATACCAGTAAGCAACATTCCTCTGTGGTCTCTGCTTCAGCTCCTGCATCCTGCCTCAACTTCTTAAGATGATGGACGATAACTGTAGACTAAAACAAACCCTTTCCTCCTCAAGTTGCCTTTGGTCCTGGGGTTTATTATAGCAACAGGAAACCAAACAAGGACAGATGGGGAGAACACCTACGTAACATGGGGTAAAAAGCAAAATAGGTTCATGTAAATAAAGCCCTTGGTCCCGATGTATTGATACTAAAATGGCATCTTTCCTTTCATCTCCTCCTGTTTCTATGCAAAAATGTCATCTAAATTCTAAGGTAGCATCTTATAAGGACATGACAATGCAAGGCAATGTCCAGATTAATCACAAGTGTGGGCTTATCCCTTCCTGTCTGAACATGTGAAACCTCTTTATCTTCTTAAACTCCTGGATAAGAAATGTCCCTGGGTAAGAATGCATGGTCAAGATCTGAATGATCTCTCTTAAGTTCTGTCATATCTGTCCCCATGTCCATTCTCTCTGAAAGGTAGTCAAACTCTGTGTATAATATAGATTCAAAGCAGTGTGTGTATGTGTGTGTGTGTGTCTGTCTGTCTGTCTGTCTGTCTCTCTCTCTCTCTCTCTCTCTCTCTCTCTCTGTGTGTGTGTGTGTGTGTGTGTGTGTGTGTGTGATCACTTGTGTGTGGAAATTTCCAAATCTCCTCAAATTAGAATGAGGAACTTGAGAAAGAAAAAAGCAAAAGAATCCCAGTGTCTGGACTTGCCCTGCCAGGCAGAGCTATCTGATGGGAGGCTAAATCACTCCACAGCTTTGCCTAAATACTGCTACCAGCTACCACAAGAATCAAATCCTCTGGGAATCCAGCATGGGACTGATCAAGACCCCCTGAATGTGGGTGTCAGTGAGGAGATCTAGGTAATCTATTGAGCCTTGGGCAGTAGATCAGTATTCATCCCGAGCATACACACGGATTTTGGACTCCCATCCAACAATGAGAGATGCACTCTCACCCTGAACTCTTGGGGGAGGGTCTAGGCCCTGCCCTGGATGAAATGACAGACTATGGACACCCCCACGGAGGGCCTCACCTTCCCTGGGGAAATGAGGGGACATTGGGGGGGTCGGGGGGGAGGGCATGGGAGGAGGGGAGGGAAAGGGAGAGGGACCTGGAACTGACTTGTGAAGCAACCTTGTTTCTTATCTAAAATTAAACTGAAAAATAAATTTTAAAAAAAGAAAAAAATCAAATCCTGTGCCGTATGCACAAGTCCATTCACAAGCTCCTACTTGCAGAGTAATCTTGAGTGCTCTAGATTGTTCTAAACTGGCTAAGACTGTCAACCACTTTGTTTCCTGAAGAGGACAGATTTGATTTCTGTTTGAGTGAAAGTATTGACTCACAAACATTGGTCTTTAGTATGCTTTGTAAGAAGGAAGTGAGAGTTGAAAGTGCTCCCTTTTCTTCCTGGGGGAGGACCCAGGTCATCCCCACTACCTTCCCCAGGCAGTCTGGTCTGTCCTTTCTCTACTACTTAGCTTAGAGATGATGAGCAGGCGCCTGCATCTCCTCTCTTCTTTGTCAGTCCAGGAACATAAAGGACCTGGGTCATGTCAGACATGATCTTTCTACCTGCTATGAAAAGGGGGCTGTTTCTAGTTGTCCTTTTAACTTTGGCAGTATGAAGACTCCCCCAGGACAATCACATTAGCCTTGTTCAATCCTGCCCAGGTCCATACCGTCAAAATCCAGACCCATTATCTAGATTGCAGACTGTGTGAATGGCAGTCCGTGGCAGCAGTTCTCAGCCTGTCATCATAACCCGTTCAGGGTTCGCATAGCAGATATTTATATTACAAGTCGTAACAGTAGCAAAACTACAGTTATGAAGTAGTACTTAAATAATGGTATGGTTGGAGGTCACCACATCATAAGGAACTGTATTAAAGGGCTGCAGCATTAGGAAGGTTGAGAACCACTGATCTGTGGAGTTCAAGGCCATGCACCTAGACTACCTGCCATGTGAATGGCATTGAGTTGAGCAATGTGGAGCACCACACCATATCATATGGAAACCTAGTCTGAGGCCAACTCTATGGACTTGCAGTCTTTGTGGACTTCTTTTATTCTTCTAGAGGAGCCCAATCCCTTTACCAAATACAAACACACACCCCACCACAACCACCAGGAACTGTAGCAACAATTAGAAAATCTGTTTCCAAGAAGAGGTACATCTCCTAGAGTCCTATTACCTTTGCCATGTTGCTTGACAAAGAAAAACAAAAGGCAAAAAAACCACAAAGACAATTACAGTGGCATCTTGCCTTGCCAGTGAGCTTGTAGTAGTGGCCACACCCTTTGGTGGTGGTTTCAGATGCAGATGAAAATAAGAATGTCTGCTCAAACTGATGAGCACTAGCCTGGAGCCCTAATGGTACTCGTTGCTATTTTTGCTGTGACACGGGGTTGGGTACAGGGAAAATCCATTCAGTTCCAGACATAAGGTAAATGTGCGAGATAGGCAAACATACTGATAAGCAGACAATTATAATCTCATATCCCACATCTCTCATGGCAGTAGGATATAGGGATGGATAGCGTTGGGTTTGGAACACATCAGAAGCAGCACTGAGTAGACATAGAGTAATTCTGAAGTTCCAACACTATTCATCTGCCACGCATACTGTGGCAGTCTGCTTTGCATTAACCAGACAACGATACTATATAACAGCTCTGCATGCACATGGCTTCCCAGCCCTTGTGGAAAAAAAAGCAGATGAGGTAGCAGGCAGCATCTTATAACATACACAACATATATAATATATAAACTGTAGACGAACATTTACTTAAGTTAACTCTGCCCCTTCTAAACGCTTCCAGAATCAGATGGCACGAATAAGTTTGTTTTTCTTGATGTTTAATATTTTGAAGCCATTTTCTCTTTAGGATGTCAATCATGCTAAACCATTTTGTGCCCTAAAGACCCCTCTTTATAGGTTTCACACAGTTAGAATGGTTTGAAAATCGGCATGGGATTGGGTCCTGCTTTCTCCTGTGATAGTCCTGTGGGAGTGGCTCACTTTAAAGCGGGCAGAAAAGGAAGCGAAAGCTTGGCATCCATCATCAGTCACCTCTGTGCTGAGGTAATCTTAAACCATGAAGAAGACCTCATTGCCAAGCAGATTCCTAGGACACTTGGAGGTAATGCTACCCAGTTGCTCATCACACAACTGCTTGCAACTCCAGTTACATGAGACCTAACTCTTCTGTTCTCTGCAAACACCTTTATCCATTATGTGTGTGCATGTACACACATACAGTCTATGTGTGTATGGGTGTGTGTGTGTGTGTGTGTTTAAAAAAACAAGGAAGAACAATATTATGTCTAAAAATTGGGATACTTACTTTAATGAGTCAAGAGCATCACTGACAGCATTGGCAAAGTTGATATCCGTTGGGACGTTTTTATACTCTAAGCAGTAAGTTGGTCTGACACCAAGAATCTCAACTTCACAGCCTACCAAGAAAAAATACGGAAAATAGTTATTGTCTCTAATACTTGAAGTAGGGTTGTGAGCCCATTCCATAAAACAAACATTAGTCACAATATTTTTGTACCTTTTTATAAACAAATAATTTTTCCTGGTCAGTAGCATATTTAACTACATTCTTGTTGAACTGGAGTAGTTTCTTAAATGCCATTCCAATGTAATACTCTAGTCCCATGACAGAAACTGCCACAAGTTAGACAATAAAAACAAGATAAACATTCATTAGTGTACCATATTTCAATTAATTTTATTTCTCTAGATTTTCCTTAACTATCATCTTCTAGTCTGATGTCCCCTTGCCTATTCAAGAGACATGTGTTGGATAGTATCTTGTAGCCAGAGAATTATAAAATAAATATTACACTATCCTGTGATAAAGACTAACTGGAATTGTAACAGCAAGCCAATTTCACCGAGTTCAAGTGACAGATTTGAGCTGGCCTCACCTCTCCAAGAATGCAATACAAGAGTCAAAAGCTGGGTTTGAATCTGCTCAAGTTTTCTGCCCCAGACTCTTAGACAAGCAGAAGTAGTTGTCCTCAGAATATCAGAACACAGCGCGGCAGAGGGATGAGCCAGTCTCAGTTTACAATCGTTGAGCAAATATTTATTGGCACTCACTGTGAGCTAGTGTCTCTGTTCAGGCAGAGGAAACAAAAATGAATCACTTCTCAAAACAATCCAGAGTCTAGTCTTATGGGAAAGAGAGAAACAGTGTGCCGTGTGAGGTCTGGTGTGAGGTGCCCACTTCTGGGGTGGAGTAGGAACTCAGCAAGGAGCACTGCTTTTCCTCCTTAAAGTCTTGCTCAAGTGTTAGAGACTTAGCCAAGGCTGTTGGAGCTAGAGTTAGGAGTGGGTGGGTACCAAGGCAAAGAAAGCAGAGTGAGCCAGGGTGCAGAGAACTTCTAAACAGTTAAGAGTCCTGAAATGTCAGACCAGGGAATTCAGGACACCAGATGTGGCTCTTGCTTACAGCCTGGGGAAAACAATTTCCAAGCAGAAGTGAGTAAAAGTGGGGGATGCAGAATGTGGGGGAGGAAGAAGCCTTTCAGGAAACAGGTTGGCTGCCACTTTGGGGTACAGCTGCCAGGTGGCTCCAGTAGATGCAAAAGATAGCAGAGCAGCTCCTAGGAAGACCCTTCATTAGTATAGCATCCTTTGATTGGAATAGTCTATGTCTGCCTGAGATCTTGGGTTCAGGGAGGACAACGTTTATCTGAGACAAATGAGAGAGGACCAAGAGATAGGCAGTTCTCCTTCCCTGGACATGCTCACTAAGAAGATAAGTAGGCCCAGGAATGAATCTGCTGATGGTTCCTAGAATATCAAAAAAAATGCAAGGGGGATATTGACAGCTGGTTACCTTGGATACCTATGTTTTGTCTGTCAACAGTTATTTATAAATTCTGATTGCAGCATCAAAGCCATCTGTTCTGTGTGCACCCTTTGCTTAGGGCCAGAAATACATCAGAAGATATTATGCACCCTTTCATGATGGGGAAGTCCTTCTATGTATATGTTGTCCTATTGGTTGATAAATAAAGCACTGTTGGTCAATTGGAAAGCAAGATAGGTGGGACTAGGTGTCAAGGAGGATTCTGGGAAATGTAGTCAAGGATAGAGAGTCACCATGTGATCTTTGGAAGAGAGGTCGTGTCAGGATGATGTCCTCAGAATGATAAGTCCTCATAGAAATATATATATATATACATATATATATATATATATATATATATATATATATATTAGTCATGGGTTAATACTTAAGACAGAACTAGCCAATGAGAAGCCCTGGACATTGGCCTACTGCATTGTAACTAATAGAATCTCTCTGTGTTATTTGGGGTTGATGTGGCTCTGGGACCAGGCTGGCAGGAAGAATGCTCAGTACAAATGGCGCCCAACAAGTGGATTGAACCCACAACCCTGAGATTAAGAGTCTCATTTTCTACCGACTGAGTTATCTGGGCTTGTTTGCTCCATGTATTTTTTTTTTTATCAACTACCATATAAACTGCTCTTCCATTAGAGGAACCATCAGTAAAAACTAACACAGCCTTTCTTATAGGACTATTCTTTACTATTTTGGGGAACATAAAAGGATGCGTTAGTGCAAATTGTAACCATCTATGAGCTGGAAACTAATTATGATCTCTCCCTGAAAATTGAGCTGAAGCATTTTCCCATGAATCATTGTTCTGAAACAACCAATCAACTTGTTGCTTGGTATAAGGAGTATGGTTCTCTGCCAAAATATCTTCTAGATTCCATACAGCATTTCTGTGTTATATATGCTACTGCTTCAAAATAAGGATTTAACACTTTGGCTAGGGAGACAGCATAAGCTTCCCATAGTTTTGCCCTGTTAATATAACATCTGTTGATGCTGGATTATATTTTCTAACAGTAGAAGAACTTGTCTACCATCTTTAGTTAACTGTCTAGGTAAATTGGGATCACTATCTCCTTTTAGAATCTCATTCAAAGGTTTTAAATCACCAGTAGGTGCTCTAAAAACAGGATGTAACCATTGAATATTTCTCTGCCGCACCTGCTGCGAAGCCTGTATCAGAGAATGTGCGGAGGGTGTCGGGATTGATGACACAGAGACCCATCGGTGGCTTCCAGAAGGCTCCTCAAGAAGGCTCCACTTTATTCCTACCCTGGCTGGTTATATATACCCTGACACCAGAGGCAGTGGTGAGTGGGTCAGGAAGAGGCAGTTAGTCTTTGGAAAAGGTCAAGATTAGGGTGTTTCTGTGGGCCAGCCCTTATCAGGAACTTATTGCTCCAGGCACTGTATTGTTTTTAGTAAACATTGTCTTACAGCTGCCTGCTCCCAGGCTGATGGGGAAGTAGGCCTCTGGCCAAGGTCTGTTGTTCCCACATTTCCCAACAACTTGAAGATTGTAAATTATCTTTTTAATTTCTTTAGGCTATAACATATATCCCAAATAACTTTTGAAAAGTACTTGAAGCTTGTGAGTGTTCTTTTTTCTAATCCTATTTGTAAAGCTCTCACTAGCTGACAAGGCCTCATTTGTATCTTAGCTGACATGGCCTAATTTGTATCTACACTGACTCTTTGTAGTTGGGGTATAATAGGGCAGCAGTTTCCCTGAGGCTTTTTCTCAAAAACCTTTTTAAAATCATGTATTAACTTCTATTCTCTAGATTTCCTTTTTGTTGTTGTTTGTTTGTTTATTTTTTGAGACAGAGTTTCTCTATATTGTTTTGAAAGCTGTTCTGGAACTCAATCTGTAGACCAGGCTGGCCTCGAACTCACAGAGATTCGCCTGACTCTGCCTCTTGTGTGCTGGTATTAAAGGCATGTGCCACCAAGCCCAGCTTAGATTTCCTTTTCTAACCATAAAAATTTAGGAGGATCTCTGTATCCTCTCCTCTGCTAAACTCTATAGAATCATCCATATAGATTCCCTTTGTTAGGCCATGCTGCAGGCTGCTGCTATTTTTTCACCAACTGGCTCTGAGGGGTCAAATCGCCAGTCTTTCCTGTTAAGACATTGACTGACTGTTGGATGTTCTTTGTAACTATATTTAAAGCAACTTAGGTAGCCTTTTAACCATATCCTAAGCAATTTAAGTATTTTTTAAATCATATCCAAAGCAAGCCGAGAAGTTCACATTCACGCATTCACAATCATATTTCATACATACTGGTGTGGCCACACCATACACACAGAACATACAAACATCTCTCATCTCTCCTTTTGTCTAGGTTATGGTTAGTTTGTTGAAATGAAACTTCCTTAAATGGAGCCCACCGTTGGTTACATTAATTTCCATGTAGAATGACAAAAGTTTAAAAGGGATTTTTACAAACAACAGAGACAAGCACAGTTTCTTGGTAGCAGCATTTTCTCATGTGGGCTCTGTTTTGCTAGAGACAAGCAGGGACTTGTGTTACTCCTTTAAGGGAGTCTTCATGACTTGGCATAAGAAGCAAAACAAACCCCAAAAAACTGTAAGGTTCTTTTAAGAGGCTGTCAACAATTAAATAGTGTGTGTGAGCAGCTGGCAGTAGCACTGACCACATCTCCAAGCAGGCACCATGCTGTTTGATGTCAGCATAGACTAAGGCAGTGAGCACAGCTCCCAGTGCTGGCAGTAAACTTATGCCAGCATGTTGGAAAGCCAGCTGCAACTTTAATTTTAGCAATGTTGGTTAGCAGATAAAAGACACGTGGCCAGAAAAACATAAAGATTTACAGTCAAGTCAGATTCAGATGAAGTAAAACCTCTAAAAGATTTATAGTGTGTTTAAAAATATATGTAGGCAGGGCTGAAGAGATGGCTCAGCAGTTAAGAGCAGTGACTGCTCTTTCAGAGGACCCAAGTTCAATTCCCAGCACCCACATGGTAGCTAACAACTGTCTATCACTCTAAGATCTAACACTCTCACACGGACATACATGTAGACAAAACATCAATGTATATAAAATAAGAATAAATAAATTATTTAAAAAATATATATGTAGACTTGGGGGAGAAAAAGAAACAGGATAGTGCTTAAACCAAAAAAGAAAAAAGAAACAAAGAGAGAGAGTAGCTGGGTGTGGTTGCGCATGCCTTTAATCCCAGCACTTGGGAGGCAGAGGTAAACAGATCTCTGTGATTTCAAGGACAGCCTGGGGTACAGAGTGAGTTCAAGGGCAGCCAAAGTACACAGAAAAAACATGTCTCAAAAAAGTAAAAAGTAAAATTAAAAGATATAGAGCAATAAAAAATCCACATAAAATGGAAAATAGAGAGTCTGGATACTGTAAGCTATTGTGCGTCTTTGAATTGTTTGATTGCTGGGGAAGGAACAACAAATGCTAAAAGACATTTGATTATCATGTTGCTAAATTATTCCAACTTACATATTTTAAAAATGCTTTGACTTCTAAATTTAAATATAAGGACAGGTTACTTTGGAAAACAGTTTTTGCTTGTGTTTCCATAG